GGTTTACCTGTAAAATCATCTTGATGTGGGAAATCCTTTTCTAGTTGCCAATTTTGTGTTGTGGATGTTAATTGCAAGCCCTGATTACTGGCGCCATCTTCTTTCTACCTCTTTAATTGACTTGACTTGTGTAAATCTCAATTTTCTACTATTTGTGCTTTCTGTATAATTTTTACTACTACTCATTCCTTAAAGATGAAATTAAATGCAGCGAGTTGCTTGATTTTTCAAAGAAATCAATTATATATTGACAAGAATGTGTAAATTCACGTTTAAATGAACATAAATTTATATGCACTGTGAAATTTGAGGAAATGTGCAGCTCTTTTTTACTTTTATTTTCACATTTTAAAGGTACAGGCTTGTAATTTTTTTTATTGCAACAGGAAAGTGAAAGTGAATCTGATCTTGGTTCATCTTCTAGACCGGATAGTGATGCCCTTCCAAACGGTCAAGGCAGAGCCCGAACAGATAATGAATACATGGGAGTGTTCTCTTTATGGACTATCAGATATGCCAACCACTATTGAAGATGAAGAGAAGGTATGTGATTTATGTACAACTTTTACATATTTATGCTCTGCTTGCCTACTTTTGATTTGCATTATACTTGCTGTTGATCGCATAGTAGCATGTGTCAATAGCCATCTCTCGTACTAGATCATTACTTTGTTCCTCAAGCATGCTCTGACAGCCCCTGAGGAAAAGTAGAATCCTCATTATTTGAATATGTCATTGGAAACTATAGTTGAGGCATTCATTCGTACCTGTTTAGATCTATGTTATAATGATCTCTGTTATTTGAATGTACTCTTGAAATGCATTTTTTTTTTCAATCAATGCAGATGATTATGGAAGCTATAATTGAGTCCTTAAAAGATTTGAAACAAGACAAATCCACCCAGGAAGCTGATCAATCCTTTGGAAGTTCGACACTATCCGTCGCACCAGCTTCTACAACAGCCTCCAATGAACCCTCAGATGCTGGGGGCTCCAGGTATGTACCTACAAATTCCAAGCCATCGGCGGAACCGGCTTTGTAGGCTTCAGGTTCAGGTGAGTCCGAGCCATTGCCGGCCAAGAAAAGTTCCAATGTAAAGAACATTTTGAGCAATAATCAGAATTTTGGAGGTGGAAGCAGCTCAGGCCAAGATGTTGAGACGGCTGCCGGTACACCCTGCCGGTACACCGGCGACGTTGGTGGTGCAGAAGAGTCCGTCAAACCCAGCAAGCAATGTCATGGAAGGATTGGCTCAACGTTGGAGTAATCTATTCAGAAACAGTAGATAACATAGCAGGCGATGTGGTCAAAATTTCATAAATATGTTGTAGTGACATTATCCATAATTAGAAAAAATGATTGGGGTGTAGTTTTTTGTATGTATATTATTATAAATGTTATTAGATGTTAGATCTGTGTGTGTTTCTGGTATTGCTGGTGGTGGTTAAGAAAATTACACTTTAAATGCTATGCTAACAAACAAGGATGTTAGGAGCAAATTTTGAGCCGAGTTGGGGCTGGCTTAAAATCTGTTTGAATGGATTGAGTTTGGATCGAAAATGACTCGTGATTTCTTATGTTCTATTTCGAGCCATCTTTGCTTGAAATTGAATCCAACCCGATCCGGTTTGAAATTGAACACCATATCAAAGGGGACTTAGACCACCGAAGCGGATGCTCTACCAACTGACCTAGGCACGCGGCGTTTATATATATATATATGTGTGTGTGTGTGTGTGTGTGTGTGTGTGTGTGTGTGTGTGTGTGTGTGTGTGCATGTCGTGTTCATGCTCGTAATAATGCAATGTAAATATTAAGTCTGTTGAAGATATATGTTGAGATGTGATAAAAGATATTTTTGTTTTGTTTCCACATCAGAGATTGGATTCGAGAAAAAAAAAATCATTGAGTTTATTATCCTGATCATAGATAATGCATGAAGCAGCTCATTCATCTTTGAAAGAGCAGTGTTGGATCCTAACTTCTCCTTTTGCGAGTTTGTCCCAAGAGTTGGAATTAAAAGAGGCGAGAGAGAGGGAGTAAGAACGCACAAAAAATTGCTCACTCGGAAAGAGAGGAGAGAGTTTGTCTTTATTCCTTATGGGATCACCTATTTAAAAGAATCTAATTAGTATAATAAAGGGATGTTGGAACCGCTATGACAACCGGCCCTAAATAGAATCAATGTGTATAATTTGAATTAATGACTGTCATAATGTTGACAAATATAACAGTTTACAATGACATGAGTTTGAATGTTGTCGGCCGGCAGGCGATCGATCGTGTCGGTCGACCAACATGAGTGTATTTACCAAGAGGGGGTAATCTGTTGGTATAAATAAGATCGGTCGTCTTGTCAAGTGGTCTTGTCTGTTGGTTCTGCGGGACCTATCACTTTGGTCAGGCAGTTGACTGATGTGTCAACTTGTTTTGTTGTGCAAGTTATGGCTTAATTTTTTTTTTGGCTCAAGTCTTCTAAGGTCCGTGTCTTGTATGTCTAATCGATCTGCTACCTCGGCTGGATTTTCCCTCTCGCAAGGTCTTGAGCGGATGTTACCGTTGCTTGTGCGGAGTACCTGATGAGACTCACTGTCAAAATGATTTGCACCTTACCTGTGGCCGATCTTACCGCTACTGAGTAGGGGACCATCTTCGGAGCTTTGACCTATTCTGGGTTTAGAGATGTGGATTCTTACGCTCGGTGTTGAAATGTCGGTCAATCGCTTACTCTAGAAGGGAATCTTTGTATTCTCAATTGTTCGTTATCTTTGATATTTGTGTCGGTGGCTCTGGTGTATACATATTAGCTCCCTGAGTTTTCCTGCTCCTCGATGACGTCGACTGCGATAAGGACAAGGAAATTATTAGCTAATCATTTTACGAAAATCATTAAAAATATATATTTACAATTAGTTTTACCTTTATTTTTTGTGTCATGCATGTCTTATAAATAAGGCTTGGGATTGGCCATTCATCTGTTGCTGATTTTTTTTGGACCACAGAGTAGACATCATGTCGAGCGATATGAGCAAAAGACAGTCGACTTGAGATTATTGTCCTTGACCGAATATCCTTTCCTGCTCTGACATAGGTCTAAAAAAGAAGGTGGTTAGAAGGGAAAAGAGGAGAGAGGCGGTCGACCCTGAGCGGACCAATCAGGTTGCTTCTTTCAAGTGAAATGAGGAGTGGTCGCCAAAGAGGCTTCTCCAGACACCCATGAAACCTGGCTTGAGTGAGGACAAGGTTGCAGTGGACCCGTCGGCCTTGTCCAAGAAGTGGGCGGCTGACAATCGTAGTAGCCCGAGAGCAGAGGTCGTTGTTGACCCTTCGCTGCTACTCATGGAGGAAAGAAAAGGAAGCACCCTAGCAGGAGAGGAAGGCCATGATTGGGTCAGAACTAGAGAGGCTCATGAGTATGTAAGGAATTCTTTTAGACTTTGGTTGGTGTCGTAACTTGACATTCATTTTAATTGTTGTATGGCTTTGATATCGTTTTTAATAATATGAGCTCCCATCCATCGAGGTATTGTCCACTTTAGCATGATGAATTCACTGTTTTGTATCATTCATGTAACTTCCCATAAAGTCACCCAACCCAAGAGTGCTCTCATTTTGGACTAATTATCAAAACACCAATCGTTACACCGAAAGACACCTCAACGTGTAAGAGTTCAACTTCACTCTACTAAAGGGTTTCATAATTAATTTGGCTTATTGTGCTCATTTTAAGTCTAACTTTAAAAAGAATATAACCTAACTATAGTCAACCCAAATTCAACTTGTTAATTGATTGGAAAAGACGTTCAAATCATTTCTAACTTGATTAAATAGAGACACTACCAATAGAAGAAGAAAATCACTCAAGTAGTGTTGGGCTAGTGTTAGCTCAATCTAAAATGGGCATGATTATCTAATCTGATTACAACAAAAAAAATAATTATAATTTTAATAAGTTTTAATTACTTATAAGAGAATCACTTAATTAAGTTTTTTTTTTTTTTTTTTTTTTTTTTTTTTTTTTTTTTTTTTTTTTTTTTTTTTTTTTTTTTTTTTTT